CTTTCACAACCATATCAAGCTCTCTCTCACTTTATCATTTTCTTTATCCATCTTGTACTGCCAACTGTCCTTGACAGTACCCACTATCACAATCAATCTTTTGCCACCAATGTCTCGGATAGTAAACATAAAGAAAAGAATTCACGTAAAAAGCATCATTTCAAAATTACAAAACTCATTCTTTTTCTATCAAATATCTTTGATAAAAAATCATTTCTCAAATATTTCTTTTTTTGAAATTCTTTTCTTTTCCCCCAAAAATATTTTTGACTCAAAGACCATAGTATGCAATATGCAACATGTTTCACTATTAATCTATCACTTCAAAAATTAATCTCAATCAAACATTTCAAATACAATTAAAACAATTTCAATAGCAACATTCAATCATAAACAATCAACCACTTCAAGATTCAACCTTAAAACATCAAATTTATCAAAAGTACAATCAAAACCATATCAACTAACCTAAGGTTCCATACATCAAAATTTATAAGTAAAGATCAATACTTATTCTACAATTATATAGACATGAATAAAATTAAACATCTAACCCATACCTATTTCTCCAAGCTTGCTAGTTTTTTCCTAATTTCCTTGATTTCTTCTTCTCCTACAATTCTTTTTCTTCCTCTTATCTTCTTTCTTTCTTCCCCTTTTCTTGAAATTTTAGTTGTTTACTCCTTGTTTTACTCCTTGGTTATGGAAAAGATGGAGTATTTTTTTGTGTTTTTTTGGCATTGGTTTATGTCTAGTTGTTAAGGGTTGTTGGTGAGCTTTTTGGTGTGTGGTTTCTCTTATTTATACTAGTCTCCACCTCCATTCTCTAATCTTCTAGATTTGTAGATATTTCTTGATATTTCCTAAGATATTTTAATAACATAGTGATTAGGTGTCCATTTTGTAGATATTTATAGGACTTTCTAGAATTTTCTTGAATTATTTAAGTATGGATTAGATGCTTAACCATTAAAATATTTAAATAATTCTACAAAATTCTAGGATGTTCTATAAATTTCTACAAAAAAAGAGGGACACATAATTACCATGTGATTAAAATGAATTGAAAACTTAATCATTAAGACCTTGTTGAAGCAGCGAAGCTAAAAAAAATTGGAACTTTTCTTGCCATGTAGGATCACTCCAATGACAAATTCTTATAACTTCTGTTGCTTATTTTTAAGATACATCTAAGCACCCCGTTGGAGGTGCTCATAGAAAAGATGCAAAGTCATTTCCGAAGTTTACATTTATCAATAAAACATGGGAAACTCATTTACGAAGTCCTTCAAAACTAAAATTTGAATTTGAGAGTCTATTATGCATAAGGATAGAACCTAAAATGTTTATTAATTAACCAAGCAAGTTACCAATAACTTTCCAAATATTTCTTACCATAAAATAATTGCAATTTAATCATGAAACAAGGATTTGTTAGGATTTTATTTATTTATTTATTTACTCAATCATTTATTGTATTTTTAGAAATTATTTTTAATAAAAAGGATAAAAATAGATAAAATAATATTTTGAGTGATTTAATTTTAATAAAAAAAAACTAGAGGAAATATCTTTAGTATAAATTAATTTTTAATTATAGAAAAAATGGAGATAATATTTTTGGCTCAACAAGGGTGATCTTTACTTTTACATTTCTCCTAAAGCAATGAGAAATTTAGAGTTGCATAGTTAGAAAGTATTGAAAAATGGTTAATTTTATTCCTTTTTTTTTGTTAAAAAACTTTGTGTTTTCTTAACATAGTTGTCATTTTTTAAAAATAGAATAAAACAGATATGTTATGCTCAAGTTGAATCCTTAAAATAATCCAAAATTTGTCTAAAACATTTTTATTTTACATATATATTTTAAGACATTAAAGTGTCCTAAGACTTTAGGATTATTAATACTACCAAAATTATTTATATGTAATAAATATATTAATTAATATTATATAAAGAAGAAACTATTTTTTTTATAAATATTGTATTATATTTAATAAATACAATAAATAATGATATTTAAGAATTTTTTTTTGTTTATGAACATGATTCACGAAATGTCCCAAAGTTGATAACCAAAGATTAATATGCATTCGTAGAATGTGGCTTTTGACAATAAAGTATTATTTTAACACAAATAGAAATCAAATTTGGGAGCACTAAGTTGATCCCTCGCATCACACGACTTAAGAAAAATTGATTACTCATATATTTGAAAAATATTGCATAAAAACTTAAATATTATATTAATATTTATGCTTATGTGAATTTAATTTTTTAAATAAAAATATTTACTTTATACATAAGGGTTTTTGCATTAAAGCATGAATGGGTTGATGTTTGTCAAAATCTAATGGGTGTCTAACTTTATAGCTTTGATACAAATTTCTAACTCAACTTTAAAAAGTTTAACATGTAAAGTAATAATTATTTCTTGCTTATATAAACTAATTTGGTTATCATATTATTCGATATGAGATCTTCAACACTCATATTGAAAATTAGATATCTCGAATATAAAATTTACAAGATGAATATCTATTGGTGATTGACTCGAGTGACAAGAATTGTTAGAATATGAAGTGAGTTATGAATTTAATTAAATCTTACAGAATTAACTAATTTAATCATACTAGTTAAATCTCTAATAGTATCCACACCACATGTAAATCGTTCAAAGCTACTATTTGTAACTTCTTCTTTTAAAATCAATTATATACATACATTTTGGGTTTTTGAAAGCTGAACCAAACACACTTATATTTGTAACAAAAAAATAAATACGGTTGTCTATCTTCTTAAACTTTTTAATTAATATTTACTTGAAAAAATCATTTATATGTATATAACATTTGCGTGTTTCCTGCTATTTGTTATAATATAATTTATATATTTAAAATTATTTATTTATTATAAATTTTTGTGATAAAACATAAAAAAATAATCTTCTAGATTGCAAAAACTAAAATACTAATGCAGAAATTAAAATATTAGTACTTTACGGTTTACACATCCGAATATTTGAAAAGCATGGGTTTAAGACAACGAATAATTTTCTGTTTTGTTGGTTTCTATATGTAACAAATAAAAAAAGACAACGAATAATTTTTAAATTTAAGGTAATTAAATTATCGATTTCAGCTACAAAATATTAATAAAATTTGATACATCGATGTAATTGGGTTAGCTGAACCCGAATTGGTGGCAATTATATATTATCTCGTGTTCTAAGGTTCAAACTTCGAACAACCGATGGTGTACCCTGCATGTGAAGTGGAATATCGTTCATACACTGCTATGGAATACATGTTATTTGTTATATACGAATTACACACTACACAGTATTCTCACCATCAAACTCGCCTTGTGTCTTGTCTACGCTCAAGCAAGATTGTCAGACAATGTTCCCTCGATAAAAAAAAAATCTCAAATAATGATTGATATATTTTCTAATTAGATACGAGAAGGTGGCGAGTTAGTGTTGTAGATCGACAAGTAGGCATGCATAATTCTTGCATTAATTGAACATGATTAATTATTAATTATATCATTATTATTATTATATTAAATCCACAAATAATTGAGAAAGTGTTTTATTAAGATTATTTAGCAGTGAACAAGATGCTTTGCTTTAAGCCACTAACTGCAGCAATGAGCTAACCCTACACCTGATCAATGCTGGCGTTGCTGTTACGTGCCCCTGACAACCCCTCCATTCCATTAGAATTCCTTACGCTAAGAATCTCTCTTACCCTCTTATATCCATATACTCTATACCTTACACCACAAATTTATCATAACCCCTACGTCATACCCACCGTCCATGCATGTTTCTATACTCCACTGTCTTTTTTTCATTAACATCGTTTCCTTTCTAAAGTAAACAAATATTCTGCCGTACGTATACCATGTTATATTAGGTCTTATAATAACTCAATTTCGCTAGTTAATTATTAAGTTAGATAATACTTATTAACACACTATCGATTCGCACAACATGAACTTATATTTTCTTACACTTAAATTGTTATGTTTAATAAAGTAGTTATTGATTCGGGTAGTTGATCAGATTGGTTTAGGAGAGAGGAAAAAAAGTAGTTGACTATTTATAGGATGAATATTTTAACTTTTAAGATCCCTTGGTGTGAAAGCGCCACTACGTACACACAATTTGTTCACATTTTAACGTGAAAAGAAATAACGACGATGTATGTAATGAGGGTTTGCATTAATTGATTAGGACTAAAGACGGAGTCATGGTTTATGTATAAAATATACTGTGCTTTTTACCGACACCAAATGATTGGGAAGGACTAAGAAATATGGAATCAGATAATTAATTATAAGGGTCATGCATATATCCGGCGTGATTGTTGGATATAGGATATTATTGTCCACTGAGGTAGTGACAAATGTGCAAAGTATAAGTGGTTGGGGTCAACTGCACATGAATTAATTCCCTTCTTAGCAAGTGCGTATAGCTACTACCATGAATCATATGATAAAGTCATGGGTGCAACAAGCTAACATAATAATTAATATTACATGATAATCTCGCATCACAAGTCATAAGGATCGTGTCCAACCCATGATCTCTACGCTTAGTTTGTTAATTCGATTGAAATGTTAAAAATTAGTTAAATTAAAAGCTGTACATGTACAACTAGAAACCAAGGAAGCTAGCTAGCAAGGTAGGAGTTATATTAAGAATGAAGAGACACAAGAAAGGGAAATAATTAAAAAGGAGATAAAAAAGAAAAGTGAGGTGAAAGTTGGAAATTGTGTGTGGTTCCAGGCTTGCAAACCAATCCTCCAGAAAGGAATCGTTGAGAAAAAGTAATGGGTTTGCTTCAAAGCCAACCGAATCTCACTCCTTGCCTCACCTCCTCATACTTCACATTCTCTCTCACCTACACTTCACACACACCCTCTTAATACAATATTATCCCTATATATATATATATTTTTTCCTAGGTTAGAAAACGCAAGCCTGGCAAAGCCAAAACGCGGTTATAATCACGGGCTATTCCTTTTGCCCTACTTGAAACCTTTTCTCTCACACCAACCACCAATATATTAACCCCCACTCTCTTGCATTCTTCACACACAACATCCTCAACCAACAACAACAACAAAATCAACATGCAGCTCCAACAAGAATTTCTCGTGGTTTCCAAGGATGACACTCAAATGATCATCAAAGGAAAACGCACCAAGCGTCAAAGGGCACCATCCCCTCTTAGGCTACTCATGCCTAATTCAACCTCAAGTAGCACCAACAATTCCAATTCCATTGATAGCACCACAACCACCACCACCATTGAATTGAGACAAGATGAAGACATGGCCAATTGTCTCATTCTTCTGGCTCAAGGCAGGCACCACGTGACAGCACCGGCATCACGTCATGATGATAACGAGAACAACAACGATAACAATGATGATAACAAGTCAACAAGGCTATACCTTTACCAGTGCAAGACTTGCAACAGATGCTTCCCTTCATTCCAAGCCCTTGGTGGACACAGAGCCAGTCACAAGAAGCCTAGGCAAAACGGCACTTTCTCAGAAGCAGTTACAACTTTTGAGAACAATATTGAAGAGAATATTAATGATCGTTATGATCCCACCACAAGTACCACCCTCTCCTTGAAAATACCAAACACCAGCACTGGAACTGTTTCTACAACGAAAGCCAAAGCTCACGAGTGCTCTATCTGTGGTGCTGAGTTCTCGTCAGGGCAAGCCTTGGGGGGCCACATGAGGAGGCACAGAAGTCTTGTGCATGCTTCCATGACAACGTCTATGAGTGGTGGAAATGTTGTTGCTGGTGGTAGTGGTAGCCATGAATATCAAGAAGCCAAAAAACCCTTCAAGTTGGACTTGAATCTTCCAGCACCCGATGATGATCATAGAGAATCCAAGTTTTCTTTTCAGCAAAGAGAAAAAGTGATTGTCTTTTCTAAATCTTCTTTGGTGGATTGCCATTACTGAAGTTCTAGTTTGCGTTTTTCTATGAAGTAATACCACCCCAAGAACCAATTTGTATTCAGTATCAGTTGACCTCACTTTCATTTTACTTTTTTCGTTTGAACTTGTATATGGTGATTCTTTCCATTCATTCTATGGGATACAATTAATGAAAATTGAATTCATTTAGTGGCTTATTAATATGATTCACATGTTTTTGTTTTAGTTTAATTTAAAGTTTGTTTTCCTTTTTTTCTGAATCTGATTGACTATCAAGATGCATGTGATCAGGAAAAAAAAATGATCTTTCAATAACAACCTTGTACATGTATACACCCTTGGAATGAAACTAAAGTGGAAAAATAAGAAATGCGATATATCCGTATAATTTACATAAAAGAGAAAGAGATAAAAATGAGTGCAAAATTAGTGTAACAAAAATCAGGATTCATTAGGTCAGAAATTGAGGGATATGATAGAAAGAGAGAGAGCATGCTAAAATTGTACGGGAGCAAACAAAAAGAGAGTTGATAGGAGTTGCTACCAACAAAACCACAGACCAAAAGCAATCAATTAGTTTCTTTTCCATATCCTATTTCGTCTTCTAGAAAGTTTGGGGGAGAGGATTAACTACAACTAGAGAGAGAGAGAACTAGAATATTAACTCTCAATTTTATTTTCTCAATTATTATAAAATTAATAAATATAAAAATCAATGGTTAGATTTTGACTACAGGCTGGTTGAATGTGTGATGGCTGGCTGCTGGAGGCAATCCAAGTCCAAAGTTTAGTTTTAGAATAATTGTATTTTTCCAACTCAAATTTTAGTGGATTTGGGTGGAAAGAAGATAAATGAGAAGAAAAGAGAAAAATAGAAGAAAAATAAAAGATAAACAGGTTGTGTGATAAAATAAAAAATACATGAAAGAGATAAAAAAAAAAAAAAAAGATAGAAATGAGATAGAAAACAAATAAATAATCAGTATTTTTTTTTTTAATTTTATGAGTTGAGAATAGATCAAAAGAAAGAGGGGGAAAATACTTTCTCTAAAATATTTGACTTGAATGAAAATATTTTATAAAAGCATAAAATTTGTTTTCTTTTAAGTTTGCATTAAAAATAAATATAAATTATTGAAATAAAAGTTTAATTTTGATTAAAAAATACTGAATAGAAGTATAAAAAAAATTATATCTATGGTCTTTCTTTTACAAAATTAATTAACTATAAATTAATAGTAAATAATTTTTTATTTTGCTTTTTTCTCTTCTCACTCCTTGTCAAGAAGTTGATTTGAGTGAAATTGAGTTTAGATTTTTTAAATATTAGGTTCTGAAAAAAAAAATCTTACTATACATGATCAACTAAATTTCTATATATATATATATAAAAGTTGTTATTAACAAATTCGATGATAACTCCAACGAATAACATAATCAATTGATTGAGTCACAACTTCCAAGTCAAACAGGCCCATCCCCAGCTGTATTTCTGCGGTACGCAACAAATATTCTTCTCAGTTACAAATTAAACTCATAATAATATCATTTACAAATTATTTTTAACATCATTTTATCATTAGGATAAATAAAAAAAACATAAAAACAAATTAGCCATGAGATATTATCGTGTAAATAAAAGTTATATTATTTATATAATAATTTTCGCAACATATTTTATAATTTATTTTATTTTCTGTGCATTATTTATTTTTTCATTTGCTTTTCTTATCTTACATTTATAAGCTTTGGTGCAAATTTATTGTGAAAAATAATTTCTTAATTCACAATGCGGAATTAAATATATAGCTTTTGGATCGGTAATCTGAGATACACACCACCTTTTGTTGCATTTTTCAACCTAATCATCGTAAAGCTTACTTTAAAGTGGATAAAATAGTGGTAGGTTAGCCATAGCCACTACTTATTCTGTCTCTTTTTCAAGTTTAATTTCAACGTGTTCCATGAATAGATAGACTAGTCTTTTTTCGTTTGAGGTAAGAGAGGCGAAGATTATGCTATTTTATAATCCTTCTCTCTTTAATATTGTACTAGTAAGGTTATTCGGCCACCTGGCTCCGACACCCAATCGGCACCCGAGTGGCCGAACCAGGTGGCCGATTGGCCACCACATGATCCATAGATTTAGATCTCCACTAATGAAGAGTTAAGGACTCCCCCTAATTAGGGATTAAGAGTTAATCATACCAATAAGCCGATTAGAGGCACATTACCTAATCCAGTAATCCTGTTGCAGGGCCCATGGGAATCCGGGCTCATAAATGTCAGTATAAATAGCTCATGTCACGAGGTAACGTCACTGTTCATTAATTACTATCGATATTTGTGCTTTGTCCTGACTTGAGCGTTGGAGTGCCTTTTGCAGGTACCTCCCCCCTCACCAGAATATTCGATCGGAACTCTCGTTCGGCCCACCAAATACGAGAAGATTACTAGTGTGCCCTTCAGACAGGTACATTTTGGCGCCCACCGTGGGGCCGAACCGAGAAAGACTTGAAGACTTAACAAGGCTATGACGAAGACAAGGAGAATGAACACGGAAAATCACCAAACCGAGGAAGAGCACGTTCAAGTTGAGGACGAAACTGATCTCACCGAGACCGTGCGCTTGCTCAAGCAGGAGATGGCTGCAATGAAACAGCAGCGCGAGAAGGATGCAAAGGAACTTTCGGCTTTGAGAGCCGAAAATGAGGCGTTAAAGAGTCAAGACTCCTCATGGAAACCTACCCAGCCTACTAACGCTCAAACACACGGATCTTACCAATCCCATGATATCCATACCTCGGCTATTCATGCCTCGGCTGCGGCACCACAAAAATTTCAATCGGCCCTGCCTACAGTTGGACGTCCCACCGATGTAGCAACAGTGGGATCACACCGGCATCCTTTTACACCTTCTATCATGCAGTTGCCTTTAATGGATAACTGGAAATCGCTGCCGATTGATAAATATGATGGTACTTCGGATCCTGACGAACATCTTGATGTTTTTCTTACGCAGGTAACATTAAGCACAACGGACGATGCTGCTCTGTGTCGGATTTTTCCCACATCGTTAAAAGGCCGAGCTTTGAGCTGGTTCACTCGGCTCCCCCCCAACTCTATTGACTCGTTCAACACCCTATCTTCTCAGTTCACGGTTCAATTTGCAACGAGTCGGCCTCACAGTTTGACATCTCTGTCGTTGGTTAGTCTTCGGCAGGATAAGAAGGAGACTCTTCGGGCTTTCATGGATCGTTTTAACAAAACCGCTTTAGAAATTCGGGATCTTAATCCTGCAGTGGCACTCCATCATCTGACGACAGCTTTGAAGCCCGGGCCATTCGTCAATAGCCTGTGCAAAAAACCCCCTTCAGACATGAATGAACTTCGAAGACGAGCCGATAAATATATGCAGATGGAGGAGTTGGCTGAGTTCCGAAATCAAGCCCGAGCTGAACCATCGGGAAAGTCTGACAAGCCAGTAGAACCATCTTATCGGGGGCGAAATAAGGAGATAACTCTTCGTGACCGACCAACGCGGGGTCCGAAATACACTCATTATACTCCCCTCAATGCAAGCCGAGCTGCGGTGCTTGAACAAGCTCTAGCATCAGAGGTGTTGGCCGTCCCAAAAAGAGCTGTCACGCCACCACGCGCCAATACTAGCAAATCTTGTCGGTATCACCGCAATAGGGGGCACTCTACCGAGGAGTGCGCGGCCCTCCGAGACAGAATCGAGGATTTAATCAAGCAAGGCTAGCTTCATAATTTCGTTGATCGGCCCGATTCGCATCAATTGCGCCAGTATCAACCTAGACACGACCGACCTCGACAAGACCAAATAATTATTCGTAGTATTAGTAGAATAATTATCCTATAAATATCTACAAAATGGACACCTAATCACTATGTTATTAAAATATATGAGGAAATATCAAGGAATATCTACAAATCTAGAATATTGGAGAATGAAGGTGGAGACTAGTATAAATAGGAGAAACCACACCAAAAAGCTCACCAACAACCCTTAACAACTAGACATAAACCAATGCCAAAGAAACACCCAAAAATACTCCATCTTTCCCACAACCAAGGAGGAAAAAAAGGAGTAAAAAACTAAAATTTCAAGAAAAAGGGAAGAAAGGAAGAAGATAAGAGGAAGAAAAAGAAGTATGAAAAGAAGAAATCAAGGAAATTAGGAGAAAACTAGCAACCTTGGAGAAATAGGTATGGGTTAGATGTTTAATTTTATTCATGTCTATATAGTTGTAGAATAAATATTGATCTTTACTTATAAGTTTTGATGCATGGAACCTTATGTTAGTTGATATGGTTTTTGATTGTACTTTTTGATAAATTTGATGTTTTAAAGTGGAATCTTGAAGTGGTTGATTGTTTATGATTGAATGTTTCTAGTGAAATTGTTTGAATTGTATTTGAAGAGTTTGATTGAGAATAATTTTTGAAGTGATATATGAATAGTGATGCATATTGCTTATTGCATAATGTCATTTTTGAGTCAAGATTTTTGGGGGGGAAAAGAAAAGAATTTTAAAAAATAAATATTTGAGAAATGAATTTTGTACCAAGGATATTTGATAGAAAAAAAATGAGTTTTGTAATTTTGAAATGATACTTTTTACGTGAATTCTTTTCTTTATGTTTACTATCCGAGACATTGGTGGTGTGACACCCTTACTACCCCAACACATATATTGTAATAATATAGATAAACTAAGGAAATCAAATTTTCAAAATAGGTAAAAGGGTTCACATAAAACCTTTAGAAACATTCTTCAATATCCAAAATATTATGAAATGAAACTTGGAAAATAAAACATAAGAGATTACAAAATGTTTTCAAAATAATAGGTTCAACTCCGTATACAAATATAATTCATGTCCTAGAAATTCTCTGCCCCGATGTCACAATATCAGAGCATACCCATAAATCAACTGTTGACATTCTAGATGCCACTCATAGCTGGATCTTCCTCACCTAAAACATCCACAAATTATACGGTGAGAAAAGAAACCATCTATATATAAAGCACATAAGGAAAATGCAACATATCGTCTCATTATGACTCTGTACTTAATAAAATATTCATAAACATTTCAACATATCATAACTCGATCATTCATACATCATCATCACGTCATAATTCGCAATCACACCAATCATCACAAATCTTGCACTTCACACTATGCCAAGGTCACGTTACCCATTTAACAATTCAAGGTCGTGCTCACCCCTGATATAACACTGTGCCAAGGTCACGATTCCCCTGTAGCATATCTAGCCCAGGGTCGTGCTCACCCCCGAGATGTTATTCAAGGTCACGATACCCACGTAACAATCCAAGGCCGTGCTCACCCCTGATATAACACTGTGTCGAGGTCACGTTACCCCTAACCCAGGGTCGTGCTCACCCTCGACATGTTAACCAAGGTCACGATACCCATGTAACAATCCCGGGCCGTGCTCACCCCTGGTCATAGGTGTGAAGAACCACAATCACATCA